GGACGAAAACGAGTCGCGCAGCTCTCTCTCCGTCACATCGCCAAGGGAATCCCGTAGCTCGCTTTCCGTTACCTCGCCGAGGAGTATGGGCCCCCCTTCACCCGCGCTCTCGCAGACCGAGAAAGCGGCCGAAGCGCCACCGCCGTACGAGGCGCACGAAGGAGAGGAGCTACCTCCTGTGAAGACCCCAGCCCAGATGGTTACCTCGGACAAAATCGACATTGACCTGCGTTGGACGGTGCTGTGCGACCTATTTCTTCTTTTGATTGCCGATTCGGTGTATGATTGCAGATCAAGAATTCTTTTAGAGCGGGTTGGCAAGAGTCTTCAAATCGACTGGTTGGATGTCAGAAAGTTTGAAAAGAAGGTGACGGACGCGTTGGAGATGCAACAGGCCGCAGAGCAAGAAAACTGGAACGAGGACGAGCATATGGAGCATCGGAGGAAACAAGCTCTCAAGAAGCGCTACATGATGATGGGGTTGGCTACCGTGGGTGGTGGTCTAGTCATTGGCCTCTCGGCTGGCCTTCTCGCTCCCGTCATTGGCGCCGGCTTGGCTGCTGGCTTCACCACCATTGGAGTGACGGGTACATCTACATTCCTCGGAGGAGTCGGCGGAGCTGCCATCATCACATCCAGTGCCGCGGCATCCGGTAGCGTTATCGGTGGCCGAGCGGCAAACAGGAGGACGGGAGCCGTCAAGACATTCGAGTATCGGCCGCTGCACAACAACAAGAGGGTGCATCTCGTCGTCACAGTAGCCGGATGGATGACGGGCAAGGTGGATGACGTCCGTTTGCCATTCAGCACCGTGGACCCCATTATGGGCGATTTGTACTCTGTCTACTGGGAGCCCGAAATGTTGCGGAGTATGGGTGACACGATCAACATTCTCGCTACGGAGGTTTGTTGCTGCCCCTTTCAATCACTTTTTTTTTTCTCAGTTCCCACTAACCTTTCCTAGGCTCTGACACAAGGTCTGCAACAAGTTCTTGCAAGTACAATCTTGACCAGTTTGATGGCTGCCCTGTCATTACCCGTTGTCTTGACAAAGTTGGCATACCTGATTGATAACCCTTGGAGTGTATCACAAGACAGAGCCTGGTCTGCAGGTCTCATTTTGGCGGACTCTTTGATTGACAGAAATTTGGGAACACGCCCAGTCACACTTGTCGGATATTCACTCGGTTCGCGAGTCATTTTCTCCTGCCTCTTGGAGCTGGCGAGAAAGGGGGCCTACGGCCTGGTTCAGAATGTCTACTTGTTCGGTTCTCCCCTCATCATCAAGAAGGACGAATACCTCCGAGCCCGCACTGTTGTTCCAGGAAGGTTTGTCAATGGGTACAGCAGCAACGACTGGATCCTCGCCTACCTTTTCCGTTTGACTGGCGGTGGCCCTCGCAAGGTGGCTGGACTGGCTCCCATTGAGGACCTGCCGTGGATTGAAAACTTTGATGTCACAGAGTTTGTCAAAGGTCACATGGAGTACCGTAAGGCTATGCCGCGTCTCCTCCGAGAGTGCGGCTGGCTCGTGGAGAGTGACGAATTCACCGAAATCGAAGATGCCGACCCCGATAATCATCAGGAGCGTCAGCGAGAGCTCATCAACGAGATCGAGGAGGCTCGCAAGGAGCTTGAGAGGGAGGGGCAGAAGAAGAAGAGCCGCTTTTCCATCTTCGGACGGGGGAAGAAGGCGGACAAGGAGAAGTGGGAGATTTACGAAGACTCGGCAAAGGACGGAAACAAACCGAACCCGAGGACAGAAGACAAGGAGGGTAACAACCACGGTGTGCTGTTTGACGTCGAGGCCATCCGAGCCGAAGTCGCAAAGGAAAAGACTGCCACGACGCAAGAGGAGGAGCCCGCAGAGTTCCAAGTAAAGGAGCTCAAGTCCACACTCCCGCCCATGAGACTCGATCTCAGTTCGTCAAACGGATCGCTCAACCCACGAGACAGCCTGCGCGAGACTAAGAGCGCGTACGCGGTACCGGGCCGAGCCTCGTACGAGACGACTGGCTCCTACTCGTACACGCCCGAGAGGACGCCGACGTTCCAGGGCAGCCAGACGTTCTCGCCCACGCTGTCGCAGCAGAGGGCCGTGTCGCCGTACCACGCGGCGCCGTCTCCGCTCGAGGAGGAGGTGGAGATGACGTTTGACACTTCCTTTCACGATCCGCCGCCGGCGCCGCGGCCGCCGCCCAAGGACGATCCCGCTCCTCCGCCGTCGCGGCCGGAGATGAAGTCGGCGCAGACGGTGCCTAATATGGGGGCGTCGAACCCCTGGGCGGACGTTGATGACGATGATGATTTTGGTAAAGAGAAGGAGATCCAGATGACTTTTGCATAAAATGGTCCCGGTCCCCGGTATGGGGAGAGCAAGCAAGCATGGGGCATGGCTTTTGGCGGCGTATGAGTTCAATCTTGTTTGGAAGCGAAATCGGGACTTTGTCTCCGTACGATGGTGCCGCAGTACTTTGCTCTGTCTTGTTGCTTGAGCAAGATGTTTGCTGGTGTAGCCTTGGTTCCCGTCCCTGACAAAGGCGTGTTTACAATGTTTACGAAGGACAGTCAATCACGATGTTTGTTGTATGATCTCGGGGAGGAAGGGAGAGGGAGAGGTGAAGGATGCTTGTTGTGGTTCTCTCTTGGATAGCGTTTTGGGGAAATGGTTCTTTATAACTAACTAACTAACTACAAAGCCATCGTAGACCCGTTCGAGTATATAATTTTATTTTAGACTGTCTGCGAGGACGGTTTGCAAAGTAATACAAAGAAAGAGATGAAAGTGTACAAACTTGTAACGTCTTTTGAGCTTTCGAGATGCACTTTTTTTGTGGATCAACGGAACTGACGACGTGGTTGATGTCAGGAAACGGGGAAGCTCTGAAGTTTTGTGTCTAAGTTGTGAGCTGAGGCAAGGTGAGAATCGTGGAAACTTCTTCCGGATTTCCGTCCCCGGATATGGGAATATGGCCGGGCGTGTAAGTCCTGTGAAAATTACAAACTGGGTTCCTTTGTTGCGCCTGTTGGTCCGGTCACTACGAATGGCTTCTTTTTGGCAATCTATCTATAAATGTGTATCACATTGGGGGTCTGTTGGCAGGTGCTCGCATGCGACAGGGGAAAACGGGCGCCAGAGTGACGGATAGGGGTAGCAAAAGGGACAAGAAGTAACAGAGTTGGTTAGGTCACTGAGCAACTGCTATGCCATTCCGCACATGCCATTCTCAATTAATGTGTTCGTCGTAATGAGCGCATCGTCTTGCACGCGCCCGGACTTGTCCCCATTACAAAGGGCCCGTAATAGCAAACATGCGCCGACGAAGCCAACAATGTGCATAAAGGCCTTGACCAGGCGAGGCGCTCGCTCGGAAAGTGGGACATCATTTTCTTCTCGCGACGCGCCCGTTGGAAGTTGGGATCTTGTGTGCGTGTGTGGCATGTTTCGTCGTTGTTGGATGTTGGCTTACATGCGCCGCTGTTGGCATCGAGCGCATTGGGTGGAGCTGTGGGAGCTTCGGGACAGGGATTCGTTAGGCAGGCCGCAGAGCCCGGGTTGGTGTGGTAGGATCGGCAGGCAGCAGAGAAGAGGGTGTGGACAATGCGACGTAGCGGGTGGGGGAGGGGAATTGGACTTTTGGGAACATGGGATGGCATGGAGAAGAGAAGTGTGTCGTCTCTCCATCTTAGAGTGCTTTTCACGAGCTTTCGGTACAGACGAAGCGTGTTTTGGAAACCGGGTGACATTCTTCGGTTTGAAATGGGATGGCTCTTATCCACCTAGCAGCATCTGAAGTAAGCCTCGGGGCTTGACATCGAGTAACCGTGCGAGGGAACGAGGTCAGACCGTTAGAGTCTGGACAGCAGCGGGAAAGCTTGAAGAGGAAGCTTACTTTGTTTTAATGACATGGTCCACGGCATACGTAGGCCCATGTCACCACCGGCCGGTCTGAGAGTGATGAGAGCCTGACCACGGCATGGAGCAGAGGTGGTATTGAGAGACTGCATATCGTCGGCGACGGCAGCGGGAGAAGGATTTGGTGTCGACTGTCGAGGTGGGCATCGCCCCGGTGAGCGTCCAAGGCCTAAGGCGGGTTGGGCAAAGCTCACATCAGCCGCAGCGACACTAGCAGCTCAGCGTGCGGTAGCGCTAGACCGTTGGCGGGTTTCCATCAAACGGTAAGGGTCGTCGTCTGTCTTGTCCGTCTTTGGGTTGGCAGGTTGGTTGGAACTTGGGCTGCTTCCATGGAAGTACTCCTTAGAGAGACGTTGGTGTGCATGTCTGCAGGGGGGCGGCGGCGGCGCCTCTTCTTTTTGTTTCAATTAATGGCATCACCTCAGGTCCCTGGTGTGTTGCCTGCGCCGCGTTCCATTGGATGGTGCTTATTTGCTGACCTGTGGGGCTGGGGCTGGGTTTGGGTGGCTCCTCCAAGGTTTAGCGTTGGAAGCGTGGCCCGCTTTTCTCCAGCCTTACCACGCACGACCTCTCTCTCTGCCATTCTCTGTGTCTTTTCGTCTCCCGTTCTCTCCTCTTGCACTGAACACCTTAAATCTTGGAGATGTCAATGGCCATGTTGGCTTCCGTTGAGAGGGAATAATTCGACTGAGTATGGTGTCCAGAAGCAGTCTGTGCTGCCCCTCTTCGTCTTGTGTTCTGGGGATGGCGTCACCATCGAGACAGGTTGGTGGCGGAGCATACTGGTGATTGCACTCAGCACTTGTTGCTGCTGCAGTGTAACATCTCACCAATCCAGTGTGCCGATCCTGGAATTGTGGGTGGGGTTCCCAATCGAGAAGGATAGTGTAGACTGATCATCCAAAGGGAGAGAAGAGAGGTGAGAGATGAAGGAGACGTTTGGGGGGGTTCTTTGGGATTCCCAACCCTGCGTCGAGCTGCCTGTTGGACAGACCCACCCGGTTGGTAGGCACGCACGCATCAGTCGTTTCCTTGCAAGATATTGTCAAGATGTACTCCGTACCGAAGTTGGGAGACGAGGAAAGGACCCTTTGCACCTCCTGACCGTCTTCGTCTTTCCTACTACTTACCTAAGGTACATCATGTAGACAGTCTAGCTGATACCAAGCACTCCAACCTCAGCCTCAACCACCAACAAAGGTGCCTCGCGAGGGAATGTACAGCGCCTCACTCTAAATATCCAGCCATAGCAAGCACATCAACCATCAAGAACGGACAGGCGGCGGCGAACGGTATTCATATTGTCAATCTGACCTTCGACCACCCGCGGATCCATTCCTCCCTCATTTCTTTGGGCGGCGCTGCCTTGGCGGCGTGGCTTGTTGTACTTGGCGTAGCGCAGATCCATCCCCTCGAATCCCTGCACCTGCACTTGCATCGGGAGACGACTAGCAGATTGCAAAAGGCGAAGGAAGCGAAGAAGCGAAAGAAAGCTCGCGAACCCTGACAATAGACCTTTCCTCTCGGTAACGAAAGCGCGCGCGCAAGAGCCCGAGCCCCTTCTCCTTCTTCCCCCTCCCCCCGGTCAGCAGCAGCAAACCGGCCGGGACCTGACCAACGAAGAAAGGTGCCCGTCTCGTTAATCCTTGTCAGCCCCAAGGTTGCTAGGTTGGTATTGCATCTGTCTGTGTCTCTGTCCTACCGGCTTGTCTCATTTCTTCTCCGTCTTACACGCCTCGGTGGCTTTCTTCTCTCTGACCTTCCCGCCTCTCTCTCTCAGCCTGGCCACTCACTTTCTCCATTCCTGCTTACTTCGTTTCCCGCATTGTCTTCACTTCTTGCTTCACTTCATCTCATTTACACGTTCTGTTTGGTGACGGGATATCTCCCTCGACGAGAAGAATATCAAGGGAATCACAGTCTGGGAAAGATTTTGGACATTTTGGTCGATTCAGCATAGAGAAACGAACACGACTAAAGCCGGGGATACGATCCTATCAAACATAGCCGACGCCAACAGACTCGAGTGGCGCAATCATCGAGGCGAACGCTACACACATAGCATACAAGTAGACTGCTGGGAAGAACGACAGACATCACAACATGTCATATCCAGCGCCTGTTCAGCTAAGTCGCGATGACACATCCGAAAAGGCGCGCATTGTCATCAACAGCGGCGGCGAGAATGGCAACGTCGCCTTCGAGGGCGAAGCTTCCAGTGGTATTGACTTCACATCCAATTTGGGAGATCCGACAAGGTCAACCACGGACCAGGAGGGGAAGAAAATCACATTCAACACCACTACCTTCAGTTCACACGAATCGACATCGTACGTCATCACGGTGGACCGCACATTCCAAACTATTGAGTGGAAGCTGGCCAGCGGAGTCAAGCTCAGCAAGGCCTCTTGGTTGGCAAAATCGAATGAAGAAACAGAGTCACTCATTATGGAAGCGTTTCCAAGTCAGGAGAACCCTGGAGCGGTTTCTGGGAGGAGCTCGGCAGGTTTCGCACCGCCGACAGCTCCCGCTGTAAAACGTCAAGAAACATATGCAAGTGAGTTGCCTCCGTGCCCAGATTCGTGGATGTCTTCCAAGATCGCTCGCGTCAGTCTTGCTCAATTTCAGCTGCTGACATCGAACAACAGTGATCCTCGGCAACGAGACTCTTGTCTTGCCGATAGAGGCCAAGAAGATGGCAACCTACTCAGGTTCCACTATGTATATTGAGCTTCAGTGGACATCAGAAACCAAATCAGGCACGACGACCAGCGGGGCTTTTGCCGTCTTCACTGGAACCTATCCGTCTGTGGAGTATGCCCAGGCAGTCGGAAAACTTGCGGATAAACGCGGTGCCAGTGAAGTAGAGAGAGTCGGCAGTGAAGACGAGAGTGACTCAACATCACCGCTACCAACAACCACTACTCAAGCAGCAGCCTCCTCCACGGCCTCTCTCAATCCTGATGCATCACAATCAACCATCGGCGGCGGTTCCAGCAGCGGCAGCGGCAGTAGTAATGGTGGTGGCGGCGGCAACGGAGGTCTCGCGCCTGGTGCCATCGCCGGCATCGTCATCGGGAGTGTTCTCGGCCTCGCCCTCATCGCGTTCCTAATATGGTTCTGCCTCCGCCGTCGTCGTCGCCGCGCTGACCACGTCTCGGACGGCGCATACGGCCCCGGCCACAACCCCCACGAGTACCTCGCCGACAAGGAGACCCACGCCAGGGTGACCGAATCGCCGCACTCCCCGTACACGGACGATGGGCAGCACCAGCACTCCCAGCACCAGCTTCACCAGCAGCAGTCGCAACCTCAGGAACAGCACCACCTCTCTCGGGAACTGCATCAAGACGATCCTAACGACGCTTTTGAGACCACCACCGCAGCAGCAGCACCTGCCTCAGCCGTCAGTGCCACGGATCACCACCAGCCTCCTTTTGCACCATACCGAGAGGAAAACATGTCCACCGCCTCGCGGTCAGTCGAGGACATGACCCGCAGCGGCGCCGGCGGTCCGCGCTCGTCAACGCCCAACGTCAATTCCAACGTATCGCATCTGATTGAGGACGGCATGACGGAGGACGAGATCCGGAGGCTAGAAGAGGAGGAGATGGCGTTGGACGCGGCCATTGAGCAAGCCGGACCGCGGAGGAAGCCGTAGAGAGATATGTGTGTGTCAAGAGTCTACTGTCGTTGATACCTGTTTGTTTTTACGCTCGGCAATATATATCCACATGTGTATTGTCATTTCTTGTTTCATACTATTTTGGTTGAATAATTCAATTGGGTCTTTTGAACCTTTGTGAACTTGCTAGACCTGTCTTTGGCGTTGATGGTTTCAAATCGTTCCCACAAATGTTCTTAAAGGGGACTTGTCGATATGCATTGTCGGGGCTCGGGAGGCAAGAGACAGAGAGGCGAAGGAGAGGAGAGGTTCTCGTCGCAGACTGCCTTTTCATCTTGATGTCTTAAGGTGGAGGCGCCCCATCGGAGAAAAGAATCCGTTGCTTTGGGGTAACGATGGCCCAAACTTGATATTGTCACATCGATAGATCCCGGTGCTATTCTCTGCAGCTCTGGCCCTTTTCGCTCCTCGGGGAGGCTCTTTGGCTCGCCTGAGGGACGAATAACCCTCGACATCAACACCCATATCATCACTTCGGAGTGTTGCAACACTAAAGCGATTCGTCTATGAAATTTTCGTCGCATTTCTGGTTGTGTTACTAACTAAGTACAAGTGAACACTCTCGTAGTCGTCTTTGATCTTCTTTCCTCCCGGGGTAGACAGGGTCAACCACTCCTGCACGACGACTTGATAAAACTCTCAATCATCCAGAGTGAGTCGGAGCCATGGTCCAAATGAATAATGATTCCCAAACTCAACGGAAACGTTGCCCAAATTCGCAGGCACAAGGCAAAAACCATCACCCAAGTGGAATCGATGCTTCTCCAATTAACAGTATTCCCAAACCAAACCTCTGCAAGCTGCGTCTGTGGGTTTTCGGCTATGGTAAAACCACGAGGTTGCGTCCGATCGTATCGGAAAGAGATCCCGTTGAATGGTGATGTAGTCTTGCTTACTGACGATTTATGGTCAAGAGCGTCTCCTCTCATACCTCGTAGCAAATCGCCTTGTGGCGAAGCGTGCCAAAAAGGTGTACGGGGAAAAGAAATGAAAGCAACAAGAGGGGTATGAAATTAGCGGTGTTTGTCGAAAAGGGGTAATGGCGTAAGGGGAAGTGGCCAGCTGGAGGAAAGTACGTAAAAAAGACAAGCGAAACAAAAGTTGGAGTATTCCATAGCAAGATTCTGCAAATCTGTTTGCAGGCAGAATGTTAGGTCGACAATATCGGTCCGTCGTCACATAGTCGTGATGCCGTCTGTAGTTTTTTTGCTGGTGACAAGTTCGCAAACGATCCTCGATCGTTGAAGTTCAGACATGATGAAAGAATCAGTAAAAATAAGCTGTAAAGCTGCTCTGGGCGACAAATAACTGTCAGCCAATCCGAGCTCAGTACGCCATGGGAACATAGTCGTCGCAGCCAGGGATGAGAAGGGTGTGGACATCGCTGTCGGACATGTCATCCGGAATCTCCATGACAATGCCGATAGGAGGAAGCTTGGGCTCTTGAAGGGCGTCGTTGCTCGCGGTTGATGACTCGAACGGGATTTCGATACCACACGAAGCACCGTTCCTGGTCGTCGTATCTTGGTTAGTCGTATGACCAGAGAAGTTGTAAGAGGAGCGAGTGTGAAGGTTCTCTTGGGTGTCAGAAGCACCAAAATCAAAGCCATGTTGCTTCTTTTTCGGTGGAGTTGATTGGTCGCTCTGGTAGTATTGCTGATGAGCGGAAGCAGAACCGTAGTTGCCGTGATGGAAGCCATCCTCTCCGGAATATCGCCCATGATCATTTGAATCATATGATGAATTGAAGCCGAGTCTTCCGAAAGAATCGTAGTCGTCAGGATGCCTGAAGGAACCGAAAAGATTATGTGCACCGTCTGCCTGGTGATCCCAACTGGGATATGGATCTTGTGTATTGCGGAAGGAACCGTTTTGATTAGCACATGGGCCATGGTTTCGCTCAGTGCGACGAGCATCGCGGCGGGATGACCAGTTCGAGGCGTGATGGTTCTCGAAATTGTGGTTGTCATCAAAGTAATCGTGCAGCGAACCCCAGCCAGTTGGCGCGATAGGACTAGGCGGGCATGGCTGATTCTCTTTGCCCTGGCCGTAGGAGAAATCGCCGGAGCCTTGAGGCTGCTTCTGTCGATTGTTTGGATTCGATCGATCTCCGGTGAGACGATACTGATCATTATTGCTGGTGGAACAATCCCGCGGCAGGTTTCCTCCGGAGGTATATAAAGCGCTGGAATGAAGCGGGTTGTTACCAGAGACCTTGGTTGAGTTGGATGTGAATCTCGCAGCAAAGTCATCCCATCCTGCCGCACCCTCGTTGCTCCAAGAGTTGAAGCTATGGTCGTCGATGCTGCACAAGGGCACATAGAGCCTTCCTGCAGTCCTGCCATCAGGGTCTCTCAGTGGATCTTTGAGGGGAACAGCCTTCTTTCCATCACGGAGATCATCGTTGTATTGCTCATGTTGGAACTGCGCATATGGGTTATCACCCTCGGGATGCTCTCGCTGCCAGAAAGTCGGAGATGTGCGGACCTCGACACGCTCGCTGAACCTTGCTCGCTTGGCAGGTGAACCGGTTCCCGAGTCCAGGGGCGGGCCGGGATGAAGGGAATCTTCGTTGGCTATAGCCTGTGATATCGTTTGAACTGGTGTAACAGGCGCGGCCTTGAGAGAGGTGGAACGGTCTGAGGCCGGCGAGCGGCAAGAGTCGGCAGGCATGTCGTCTTCGGGTTGTGAATTCGCTTCAGTATCGGGAACGTCCTCAACCGAAGGAGCCTTATGGCCAGTGCTCGCTGCGACGACGTTGTTCGCAAGATCATCATTATGACGGGTCGTAGAGCAATGAGACTTGGGCTGAACCTCTCCCA